GGGTTGTCATTATTTTTTTAAAAATGTTATTTGTTGTAAAATTGTATTTATTGTTTTTACTTTTTAATTATAAGCTCATTAATTTCTTTTTAAATATTTTTTTTATAAAAATGTAGAGGTATCATGATTGGTTTAAATAAAACAAACGAGGCTAAACTTGCATTGTTGAATCTGCACAATGGTATTGTAGTAGCACATTTGTGTTTAATGAGATATGAGGTTCTATATTATTCCGTTTTTAAACTAATTAACTATATGCATATTTAAATGTTCATAATTTTTATTTTTATTTTATGTTTACAGTTCTGGCTCTTTCTTAAAATAAATCATCTCTTTCATGACCTTTCATGACCATTCTGAAAGATATGAGTTTCATGTCCAGGACTTGTTATGACCATTGATCACCGAAGGAGATGGGACACTATATGATATGCAGATTTGCATACTAGAGTAATGCAGGGGATAACATTACATAATGTATTTTCGATGTTTCCCCTATTACATTCCAAAGTGCTTTTATGAAATGATTATTCGTTATTACAACTCAACGTCATAAGAAGCAATGGTATTCTAGTAATACAGTCGTGTTTAATGAAATATGAGTTCTATATTATTCTTTTTTAAAACTAATTTTTTGTACAGACTTTTCAAGCAACGAGTGGATCCCTGGGGACTTCAATAATGATTTGTTTATGAATTTCATTTTATATGTACAGCTGCTTTCAATGTGTCAATTGCGGTACAAGACCCATCCTTTCCAGTGATGTTCCAAAACTTTTTTTTTTTTTTTTTTTTTTGGCAAATTCTTACTAATTCATGAATTATACTTTCAATTTACATGATACATAGAAATTGTTGCACAAATATATGTATTCTAATAAATTTAGGGACACCCGTGAATTAGTGAGAGTAAAAACTTGTCATAGACGCATTGTGGACCCTACAACTATGTGAGACACCTGACAATCGAGTGTCGTACATAGATGTAACGACCTCACCCTGGCCAGACACAATATTGTCCGCTTTTGGCTCACCTAGACCAGAGACTTCCCAGGGGGTCACCCATCCTGGTACTACTCCAAGTTAAGCACGCTTAGCTACAGAGTTCTGGTGGGTTCAGAGCCATCACGGCTTTAAAACGCGTTGTGTCATAGAAAGGTGTTGAATCTACATATAGCACTTGCCCCATCCACACCCAGACGATGTGGGATTGTGCACATGTAGCTCGCCCAGTGTGGTAGCCTACTGGTGCCCCCTACATACGCTCACACACACCCGCCCACAAGGTCGCCACAATCACCCCCCTTCGTTGGCCACACTTCCGGCTGGGTCAGGCTCTGATACCATTTGTAACGACCCTCACCCTGGACACAATATTGTCCGCTTTTGGCTCACCCAGACCAGAGACTTCTCAGGGGGTCACCCATCCTGGTACTACTCCAAGTTAAGCACGTTTAACTATAGAGTTCTGATGGGTTCACAGCCATCACGGCTTTAAAACGCGTTGTGTCATAGAAAGGTGTTGAATCTACATATAGCATTTGCCCCATTCACACCCAGACGATGTGGGATTGTGTACCTGTAGCTCGTCCAGTGTGGTAGCCTATTGATACCCTCTGCACACGCTCACACACACCCGCCAACAAGGTCGCCACAATAGAATTCTAAATGAATGTGGAAAGAGTAGCTCAATATATAGCTACTATCATAATTAATGAAGAATATTTGTACAAGTTTCTAATCAATATCTGGATATATATATATTTTCAGAAACTACTAACAAATGAAAGTTTCTGTATAGTTTTTTAATTTTTAATTTTCTAAAAATCGAAAATTATTTTTAGAAAATCGGACCTAACATGTCCATAGCTAATATATTTATGATTTAACTAATATTTGTGATATGAAACAGGATTGATATGAAACAGGGTTATATATATAAATTCAGTTGTCATAGTTGGTTAGGTTGGTGATTTCCAAGACGAAACAGGAAATATTGGAACATTGAGTACATGAGAGGTGGGCCTCGAAATGATTTCTTTCCTGACTTATCAAAGATTCCAAGAACATACATTATTTTCTTCTGTTCTCCAAATAAACTAACTAGCCATGCAGCCTCGCTCATCAATTATTGTATATGATTCTGCACAGGCTAGTTGCATCACTGATCAAAGTCCTAGATCAATAGACAAAATTCCAAAGAGGTAAATTAATGCTATGAATGTGCATATATCATTACAAAAAAAAAAATTATAATTCATCAATTTTAGTTACTGTACTTATTAACACATCAGAATTTATTCTGTAACTAGTCATGCTGTGTTAACGTGTCAACCATTATGTTTCCAGTTTTACTTTAATTGAATAATGATGATGGTTTTGTTTAGGAAGTCGCTACTCTGCATTCTCTTTTATTTTTATTAATTTTATTTATTATGATTAAATAAATAAACATAGAGTTCAAATCAGTCAAATGTAACCCAATGTGTTGGGAAACTGAGCTGTTGCCAAAAAGATCCTCTTCAAAGTTGACTACACCAACTTTACAAACACATTCCATTTTCTCTTGACTAAAGTCACCCCTACAAAAATCATTTCCAAGAAAAGAAGAAAGAAAGCATAAGTCAGAATACTTATATAACATCTTACCAATAAAAGGTATTGTGGGTAAATCGGAAAATAAAACACACTTTTTATAACTAGATAAAAATATTACTGTGTTATTTTAGAAGATCTTTTAATATTAGAAGAGACAATTGTAGAAGTACTATTTAAATAATTCTTTTGTCGTATTTATTTTTAAAATTTTTTTTTTAACATAACACTGTTTCCTAAACACTCTAAGTAACCCATTCAGCATAATTTAATTATTAGAAATGCCATATATAAGAACAATAACTTGCTTAAAAAAAGTCAATATTAATATCATCTGATGGCTAATACAACAAAGTGGAATTTTAAAAGAAGTATTTATCTAAGTTTCATAGCAATTTTATTCAGAATAGCTTTCATTTATCTCATTTTTTATTTTACTATCATTATCTAAAATAATTAAAGAAATATATAACGAAGAGTTGGTATAGAAAAAATAAATATAAGAATTGGAGTATAAAAATAAAACACATATCTAATGAACAATTAAGTAGCATGATAAATAAATAAATAAATAATTGAGTTGCAGACGGACCAAGTGCACTGTTATGTAATTATTCTGTTGAGTGTATTTTACATATCAATTGTATTTTATTTTCTTTTTGTATTTTTTTTATTCCCAGCTTCTTTTTTGTCTATGGATTTTTCTTCACTGTGAAAGGAAAAAAAAAAAAAAAAAAAGCCACACAATTCTTATTTACTTCAACGTGGGAAATGAACATACACTAAACCATGGTATACATAATAAATAGAGAGAAGGGGTGAGTAAGATTCGGTGTCGTTTTGATTTCTAACAACAACATAATCTAAAAAGATAGAAAAAAGGGGTGCGCATCACATTCACAGCTCATCAATGAAGGGAAAAACTACGTACCAACCACGTACGGATCAAGTACATGATAATCAATGTGGTTGGTACCTTGAATTTCATATACTATTAATCCTATAAAAAAATTAAATGTAATCAATAATTGTGCAAGTCAAAAATCTATATTAAAAAAGCCATGAACTCGTAACTAGATAAAGAAGACCCGAGGCAGCGACTCCTGAGGCAGAGGTAGCGTATCGGCTTTACCAACTCCTAAACCACGTCCATCTACGTCCGAGTTGATCCAACAGTGGAGTAGTTGTTTGGGCCCCTCCCTTCCAAGGCGCTATCGAATATGTATTAATAAGAAAATATGGGGCAAGAATTCGTTCACATAGGAGTCAGTCACCTAACAAGTCAAAGGCAGAGGTCGAAGCCCCCATTTCTTAGATTTGACAGGTATAGCCCACAGAACTGATGATGTTTTATTCGAACGGAAGCGAAAGACTGATTGCTCTGTTTGAGACTGGCACCGAACCTCATACCTGTCACGGTACCTCAAAGCCAACTACAAACAAGGAAGAAGAGATCGACTCAAGAAGCTTTCAACTAGCTGATCTTGTAACCAAGTCGTATTTGACTCATTTCTCATATAGATGAGATCGAACAAATGCTGTTTGAAGAGACTCCTAGTAGCGAAAAACGACTTCACAGTGTAAAAACAGCCCCCCAAGCACCTCCTTGATCAGTGCGGTGGAGTCAAAGACCCATTGTGAAGCCCAAATTACACTGTTTTTAGAAAAACTTCCATTTTCTGATCGTCATATAAGTGAGATAGGGCACCTATTCATCAAGCCCTCTTTATCCGGATCTGGCATTCTTGGGATACAGACTCTGAGCCCCAATCTCATCCCTTTCCTCTCGCGAGCCAACCTTTAGTTGGATTTTCACTCTAGATCACACCTCAATCCAGCAAAATGCAGTATAAAGAACCATAGGCTCATAGATATAATACAATTGCTACTTACGAGGCGGACTATTCCATAGTGGACTATTTTTTAAAATTTCTGTTATTCTATAATAATAGTCCGTATTTGAACAGTTGACAATAAAGACAAGTCACGTACCGGAAAAGATAAGAAAACAAGACCGGGTCAAAGTACACGATTCGACCTTCTTGCTACCAAGTCATGCTATAACCTCTTGAGGCCTGGTGATATTAGTCCTACTAACACGCAACAGTGGGATGCTATTTGGCATCTTAAGGGTCCATATAGACTCAGACACTTTGTCTGGTTGGTCAGGTATGATAGACTTCTTACCAAGTATGCAAAAATGTGTCGTGGATTTGGTGGGGATACTGCTAGTTATGATCTATGTGGAGCCTGCGAGGATTCAATTCATGTATTGCGAGATTGTCCCTTTGCTACAGACATTTGGAGAGTGTTGATTCCTCCTGCTTGCAACAATGAGTTCTTTGGTACCTTTTTGAAACCTTGGATTGACTGGAACCTTAAAACTGGCCCAATACAAGATCTCCTCTGATTGGTCACTTATGTTTGCTGTTGCCACTCACACTCTCCGGTATTGGAGAAAGAAGAGAATTCTCAATCCACATCTTTTGATCAATAGGAAGAGGAGGAGAAAAAAAGCTTAGGATGAACATCTATTTGAGTAGATCATTTAAAAGAGCTAATGTCAGTTTTAGATTATGTAGTGGAAACGCCGTACAATCTACAGTTTTGAGATTAGGGGAAGAAATGTTCTTGGTGGATGAAGCACCAGCGAAGACCATCAGTTGTATGCAAGATGAGACTCAAATATTACAAATCAACAGAGAAAACAGGTTTGAGAATAAGGTGGGATATAAGCATAGAGTAGTAGGGGAATCAATGAGCAAAAAACAAATTTTAGAGAGATTCTTCATCGATCTAGTAGTAGGGGAATCAATGAGCAAAGAGAGAGCAGCAGAAAGGGTCAATGATTTGGTGGGATACACAGAGAGAGTCGCGGGGCAAACGATGATTCTACCACGAAGATTCAGAAAAAACCGAGCTTGGATGGAACTGAACAAAATTTGGAAAACAAATCAAAAGGTCAAAGGATTCATTATTGAGAAAGCAAAAGGAGGGTATTCAGTAGCAATCGCAGGGTTCATTACCTTTCTACCATTCCGGTACTTAATGAAACGCTTTTGTCTTGTTAGAGAGATGCGGCAGTAGCTCCTAAGCTTGAACCAGATGATGCGACATGCCCTAGCTGACTCTGTGGATCAAGCAGGTGTAGCAATCACTTCTATGACATGAATAGATGTGTTCACTTTTGCAAGGTATTAAACACAGTCTGAACCCTTCAGGTCATTGTTGATGCAAGTTCCTATTGATCAAAGAAATTCTCCTCCCCTACTCGAATAAAGAATTTCTCCTTCATTCACCCGTATCTAAACCTCAAAGCCGATAGACGGAATTCACAAAGTCCACTATCCTACTCTACTCGCCCAGTCTCCCCTGTGTTTCGACCTCGGAGAGGAAGAAGCTGGGTCGTAGACTTTATGAGACGGGGGCGCGGATCATAGTTCTCTTTGCTTGACTCGAGTTTATCGACCAAACCAGTCACCAATATGGAGGGTGGGGAGTCTATAGGCTACGATTCACGTAATTGCGAATTCATTTACTGATTGGCTAGCACATCGCCTAACAACCTAAAAAAGAAAGGCCGGTCCATACTAAGCATAAAATCCATATTTTCTAAATTATGTATCTCCTGTCAGACAATCTTCTTGAAATTGTTTTTTTTCCTATTTGGCTTGCTCGAAGGCCTAGAGACTGATCCTATAGGCTTGGACTTAGAACATCTGCGCTTTGATTCGTGCTTGAGGTACCTCGTTAGGTACTCCTGGTGGTACCACACTGAAGTGATTGGTTAATAGAAGGTCGGAAAGGAGTTTGTTTCGGAGTTGCTTGCGTAGTTGTTATTTCGTAGTAGGTTTTGGATCATCCGATGAAGATGGGATCAACTTCAGCATGACTAAGTGCTTCTTTGTCAACAAACCCCTGCGTTAAAAGCAAAATTACCTAATGCATTGAGGAAAAGAAGTGAGGGGTAAAGTAGGAATTTTTTGGGGACATAACTAGAAGCGCAGAGCTCGACTCCTACGAGGTTGAAATCTGAGGAGGGCTAGGGGGGAGGGCTACGGGGTGGTTTCCATCTATATTTGATAAATGGGAAGGAAGGTAATTGTAAGTTTACGGTTTGATCCTTTGTTGATCACTTTGGGCGGTTATGGATAAGCAAGAGAATTTTCGAGATTCCATTTGATAACAGGACACAGGCATTAAAAGACAGACACGCACCTCACCCATGGTTTGCTGTGAGCGACGTGAGAGGCAGCTAAGAGGATGCTTCGATCCAAGCCTTCAGAAGAGAAATATAGAGGTGAGGCTCCTTAGTAATTTACTAAAATCTTCTCTCGGTCAACAAAGAAAGGAAAGGGCGCTGCACTCATTCTCAAAAGCGACTGTCCGGGGAAAAGGAAGCACGCACATGGTCTCGAAAGAAAGAAGTTCAAGAGAATGGCACACCCAATCAATGTCTATCTTGGGTTGTAGCTGAGCTGAAGTGAGACCCAATTTGATAGTTGTTTCGGCTCCTGCTAAGAGGAGTGAAAGGACGGTGAAGGTCTTTCATCAAGAAGGCGAGCTTTCTTTCGGGAAGGTCAAGGATGATCAGATCAAACGGGTGGATGCGCTCGAGGGTAAGTGAGTTTTCACCCCGCGCCTTTTCCTATCAAAATAGGATTTCTTTGAACTCTGAGCTATACTAGGCTAGAGTTTGTTGATGGACTATATGACTTAAAATAAGAAAGCCACTGCCCTCTTACTTAACGATATTTCTTTGAGAAATATTGGGAACATCATGGTAGCAGATGGCGGGCAGCTTGAACGGGACCTATCAGAATGGAAATCAAGCCCAACTCTGACCACGCAAGCACAAGCTATTTATTCTACTTTTTAGGGACGCTCACTTGAATATCTGGATAGAAATCTCGTTAGTGGACCCAAGAAGAATGGTCGGGCTGGACATTCTTGAGTAAGGAAGTCACTCAGTTCCGCTCCATAACTCGTGGATGGCGTCGTTCTTTGGGCTCAGCACCTTAAGATTTTGAGAAGAGTTGCTTATTTTTAATTCAGTTCCCCCACTCCCAAAGCAAGGTTAGAATAGCTATGCCCAGAGAACAGAATGGGAAGTTGAAGCTGTAGAGGTTGTTGGTTCATCGGAGGGAAAGCGGATACCGAGGAAGTTGATTCTGATTGATCCATTTCAAGCTGCAAAAGAAAAAGAAAGGAAAAGTGCGTTGAAGCATTCGCATTTCGTTAGCCCCTTATCCAGATCTGGTTGTTTCATCCGTTCTTTCTTCTTCCTGAGCAGTTTCAAGCAAAACGCCTAGTCTTCTTTTTTGGATGATAAGTAATCGCTGAGTTCCAGTAGCATGACGAAATGGGGTTGACTACTTTTCTATATATGGGAGACAGAAGTTTTTCGATTTGTTGCTCCTCCTCTTAGCGAAAAAGGGGTTTAAGCGAAATTCCCGGGGTTTCTTCCACTTTCCACTTTTGCACGAGCTAGCTCTTTGTTCGATTTTCATCTCTTTTTATTCATTTGAAAAGCTCCAGCAACACTTTTTCGATTTCTTGATCCTATCCGAGCCCCTATCAGCTATGTATTCTTTGTCCTTTCAGTCCTCCTGTCAGCGCTCTTTCTCTGATTCATCCTGTTCTGTTCTTTCCGCTTGCTTTTTTTTCATTTCGTTGCCCATGTTATTGACTTTTAATGTACGGGGTAGCCCTTTTATTAAGAGGGAAGAGTTCCCTATTATGGCTTCCATAGTTTGTTTGAAGGCCGATTCATTTAAATAGGACCATATGTGCACTATACCTATATAGGAAGATAGGAACCAATGCTTTCTGATCCGAATGAAAGGATTCGCTATTCCCAGCTATTACCATACATGTCACGGAAGCTCATAACTAACACCACGGAAGTCCACCTCAAAGCCAACTACAAACAAGAAAGAAGAGCGGACACCAGATCCCAGAGTAGACCATCCCCACCGCTCATTCATTCTTCAATTGACGAAGTCCGGCAACTAGTTCTCTGGGGGATAAAGACCCCGTCTCCAATCATGTTATAAATCATCTTTCTTATCCAGCGGGTTTCTATTGCTTGTATTCCTTTGTTTGGTATCTGATCCGGGAGCTTGCTCCGTTAGGATTGACCTTTCATATGGACCTTGAAACAACAAAAGGTTTAATAATGACTATTGCTATCCACGCTTTTCCTTATTGTGAGAATGCCCCCTTGTTACGTTCTCACTTTCTTTCACTTCCTCTTGCCCATTCCGGAGCGATCTACTACGAAATAGGAACAGAGTCACAAACCTTAACAACATTTTGATCTAAAAACACTTTTTACGCGACTTTCTCGTCAAGACGTACGGAAGGCTATTTATATTAATAAGAGAAAGAGCTCACAAGGAAAGGGTCCCATGTTGATCTAAACCGCCATCTGGGTTTCTGGGTTGAGATGAGATGGAAGTTCTTTTATTCCAGTGAAATCATAAGGATGCCCGGTAAATAGATCGAGGGACATGAGAAAAGCCGCCTTCCTTCCGTGGTTGTGTACGGGGACCTCACAACCGGTCCCCTTTTCTTTCTTTTTTGATGATGTGAGGGAAAAGGTTGTACCCTAACTCCAACACTATAAAGCATCCTCCAAAGGATTAATGGAAGCCTTTTCTTTCCTACTCCTTCGTACCGAACCAACTTAACGATAGGCAGATGGAAATTCACCAAACAAGGCTTGTGTCTGAGCCACTCCTCCAAGAAAGAGAAGGGAGAACCAAACTATACCTGCAATTGTGCTAAGTTTTCTACCCGAGGTAAGGGAAGATGTTGATGAAATGTGGCTATTTCACTTTAGCGTTCAGCCACTTTATCTACCGGCCGCATGTGATGGACTATCTATGGATCAATCTTCGGTTTTGAAGCATGAAAACGTCCATCTAACCTTACTCCCAAGCTTTCAGCAAGTTTGGCAAACCAGTCCGGCGAGCCCGAGTTCGGCAAGCTCAAAATGAAGTCTGGCGACACTACGAGCAAGATGATCCACCTCGACGGCAACCCGTTCCAGTGAGAGCTCTAAGGTCTTATATGAGTTTTCAACGGTGACCTACTAAAAGCAAGCTTCACGACTGCATCCGAGCTCCGTCCGGTGAAAAGAACAAGGGCTGTGAGTGAGATTTTGTGCGAGAGTGTGTTTCCAATTCATTCATAGTGGATTTGCTAAGCTGGGCTTCACAGCCTCGAGGACGTTTCCCCACTCTGGGGTTTTACCTCGCTATATCTTGTGTCCTACAAGTTGACTACTTATATTGTTGTTACGAACGATTCAGAGAAGGAACTCCATCCATATCCTAAGGTGAGGGTCATCCTGATTTTCGGATATCTTTGCGGGGCTCTCCATGCCAGAGGCCGAAAGGCATAACGATTTGGCGCAAGCTCCTTCTTCAAGTGCCTCCACTCTTCACTTCGTCGTTCAAAAAGAGATCATGTCGCGAGCTAGAACTAGAACCCACCAACCCAATCTCTACGAAATAAGGGGATTTTTGAAAGAAAAGAAAGCGTCTGTCGTCTTCGCCGGAGAACAGGGCTGAACCCGTAGGGCCGGGAACAGGAACAGGTGTCTCACCAAACACGGAGAACAGAGGTTCGGGAATAGAAGACAACTGGGTCGGGCGAGGGAAGACCACGACCGGGGTTTCGAATGAAAGATAGCAATCGGAGGACGATGATTGGATTAGGGGAGCCCTTGCGCTTGACTTTAACCGAAAGGAGATCTGGGGCTAAATCCTTATAAGACCCCAGGAACGGGATGCTTAAAAAGGGGGCAGGGGATCGTTATGATACTGACTCTATCTCTGTGGAGTATTCACTGGTTGTACGTAAAGAAGTTGCGAATCAGCCTACGTTAATGACATCATTTTCTCCTAAATGATCATCACTTTGTCCAGAGAAGATGTTGACCGCAGGTCTTTCCCATCGTATTCTCCCCAATCTTCTTAAAGCTTCGGAGCAATAGAATGTGAGTTACAAGCCCTCCTTCCTACCTTCTTTTCGGGAACGCCGTCAGTCCCTTCGTACCATAACCGCGTTCCTCCATCCAC